CTTGTCGGGGCTCGCTTACTCGGTACGCGGGAAGCTTGCCGGAATCACAAACCGTGATGGCCGCAGTGCTCTCGCCTGTGGGTTAATTACTGCTGCGTGGCTCCTCATTAGGTGTTTGTCTCGTTCTTAGGCTGACTGATCCAGATACGGCATCGACCCTTCTCTGGCTTCTATATATACTTAATCTAAAGACCATAGTAACAGTAGTAAAGCAGAAATTACTTAAACAGTACTTTTCTTGAAAGTTCAGAAGTTCAATGAGGTGCTAATTTTTTCTTTTTTAATTAAAAAAAAAAAAGCCATTTAAGAGCTGTAATGTATGCAGTGTTGAACTGGCTTGTAAAGTTAATGTGCAATACTTATTTGGTGATTTAGATAGTAAGAGTATGATACTAATAAAAATGCCAAATGGACAAAACTTATTTAAAATAACAGCGTTCATATCTCATCTGTAGGATTAGAATCAATCTGCGTTTTAAGGCTATTGACTGCTTATTCTTCAGTCAGTGAAATGAGCAAAAGTAAGAAGAGGGAGATTTTTGCTTGTTAATAATCTTGCAGCTGTTGAGGCCAATGACTCTGTTAAGAGTATAACGAAGGCTCCTGAATCACATGAGGAATTAAATCTTTGCATCAGGTGTATTCCGAGGACCTCATGTTTCCCTGAAGTGCTGATAAGCAGATGCAGACTTCAAGGCTAGAAAGACTTCTATACATACAGAATCAGCATCTATTCACAATTTTAATACCAGTGAGACTTAGAAAATCTAGAGTAGACATCAGCTTAATTTTAGTTGCTAAGCATCTTAGCAAGCAGATTGGTTATGATGTGGCTTTGCCATCCATGACATGTTGGAGTTGGAAAGGAGAAAGATAAAACAGGAAATAAAACAAATGAGCATTAGGACATTTCCGGATATTCTGTGACTCCACGGCCAAGCCCGTAAAATGTTAATGTAGTGAATAATTTTAATTATTTGGCAGAAAAGAAGCTCCTATACCAGAAGTCTCCAGTAAAGTTTAACTTCTGTTTTACAGTGAGCAGCTGAATTGGAGCCAGTCTCACAGAGATCTGATGATGATGATCCAAGAAATGAAAAGGTGTTTGCCTGAAGAGAAAAGGAGTTCCAGCAAGCCCAGTACCATCAGCGCTCTCAACTATGCCTTGCAGTGTGTCCAACAGATCCAAGGTATGTGTGGAAAAAAATCTGGAAGCGTAGAAGCTACACAGCAGCTTGATTTGAATAGACGTGTCTGGCAACAAATAACATTAAAGCAAATTAAAGCATTCCAGTTATCCTGCAAAAAAATTGACTTTCTGAAGCACTGTGGGTGGGTTTTGTTTTGTTTGTTTGTTTGTTTTTAAATAATCATGTTATCTTTCCTATTGAAATGTCCACCTACTGCTTCTCTTTCCTTCAGAATTCTATAGCTAATAGGTGCCTACTCATAACTGTCTGTGTATATTGAAAAAACAGCATTCCCGTCCCACTTTGAAAAATTGCTGGATAGTCGGTGTGTTTTCCAATAGAACTAAGTAGCTAAAATTGTTCTTTTGCCATCATGTTCTGTCCTTTCTACTTCCTCATGCTCGCTTTCTGTAACATAAATAGGTCACTTCGGTAGTATAATCAGTATTCCTTTTTCCTTTGTCACTACACAGACCTTCCTCGTCTCACCTTGGACTTCACCAAAAAGATGACAAAAGTACAAGGGCTGTAAGAAATACTTTCAAAATAGTCTCCTTACTGACTTCCTTGTGTTTGCTTTGCTTTTCCTGTTTTTTTTTTTCAATTAGCAAACAATGACTTTTTCCAGGCTCTGAATGACCGAAGAGTGTTTCAGACAGATGTGATGACATACAGCATAGAAGAATTGGTGGCAGTTGCATCTGAACACACTCCAAAAAACACTGTAAGGAATTCGGGCACAATTAAGGAGTTTGTCACTTGCTGTTTCACTCTCTATTTAGTCTCCTTACATCGTTTTGTGGAAATGGAATGTGTAAAATTGAAAAGCTTTTACGTTTTAGCCAGACAGGCCTTTGTGTTCTTAAAGGTAGACCAAGGTAACAACTTATCTGTGCTGACTCAGGGTACCCAACAGCAGTAAGTGAAGAAATACCTATTTTTCTTTTTTCTCCCCCTCCCCCCGCCCCGAAGCAACAGGTACCTCTTTGAGAGTCTTATTTGAGAATTCATTTACGGCATAGTAATCTCTTGAGACAGACTTAGCAGAATGTTTTCAAAGCTGATCAAGTCCATAGTTGTGAGGGGCTTTGGTTTCAATTTGTACTCCCGGATTTAATTTTTTTTTTTTTTTTCCTTGATTTGCAGTATGTGTCATGCTTTCTGGCTCTGCCTCAG